ATCTTTCTTCTATCATTGACAGTCCCTCTAGGTTGTGGGCTGCTTGCCTGTGTTCCTGAGAAGCATCTACGGTACCAGTCTATAGAGTGTGTTTTCTTTAGTGAATTACCGGTATGTTTACCGGTAATAAACTTGCTCTGTTTTATGTATATGTTTGATTACATACAGCCTTGTGACAGTTTTCCTGCATGTCATAAGCATTTGAATATAAATTAAAATGTTAAAATCAAATCTGATATTGTTTTACCTTTTATTTGGTGTGTGGAAGGTGTGCGGAAGAGGGGGTAGTCTTATACGGCGAGTATATAACAAACTCTGTATTTTGAGTGGAAATGTTAGGGGGTCGTCTTATACGCCCAGTCGTCTTATACTCCGGCAAATACGGTATTTCATTAATAATTTCAGACATCTCTTTGTATCCTTGTTAGCCTATTCATAGCCTTCGCCTGTTTTCTTTTTTAAACAGGGGTTGCTGTCCTCTTGTTGATTTGCATACTCAAGATATGAATCCCTTGTTGGTTACAGATAATGCAACCATCTTCTCCCATCCTATCATAATATATTAACGCTGGGATACCCTTCACTGAACAGAGATCCTTATTTTGAAATGATCAAGTTCATCTTTTCCTGGTTTTGTTTTGCCTTATGATTTATGCTTCTGAAATTTTTTTTCAGGGTCTCCCCATCCCTAGGTTTTGGCCTACATTTACTTCTATTAACTCTATCATTTTACCTTTATCCTATTTATATCTTTTCCTTTTTTAAAAATCCTCACCTGAGGACATGTTTATTGATTTTTAGAGATGGAAGAAAGGAGGAGGGAGGGAGGGAGGGAGGAAAGGAGGAGAGAGAGAGAAAGAGAAAGAGAGGAGATGTGTGTGGGAGGAAGAAGGGGGGGAATTTTCCAAGATTTAGGGACTGAGAGAGAGAGAGAGAGAGAGAAGAGAAGAGAAGAGAAGAGAAGAGAAGAGAAGAGAAGAGAAGAGAAGAGAAGAGAAGAGAAGAGAAGAGAGACGTTGAGCAGCTGCCTCCCATATGCGCCATAACGGGGAATGGAACCCACACCTTCTTTTGGTGTATCAGATGATGCTCCAACTGAGCCACTGGAACCCATCTAGAACCCACCTTTATATGTAGTTAGGTAAGGATACTGTTTTATTTTTCTCCCCATAGTGACTTTTTTCTCCAACATGATCCACCAAAATTTATTTATCCCCCAGTGATTTGTAGATGATCTACATCTGAAATCTCTATTCCATTGACTATTCTTACACAAATACCCACTTTGAAAAATAGCACCTGCCCTGACCAGTGTGGTTCAGTTGGTTCTTGTCAGGGAACATGCCTGGGTTGCAGCTCAATCCCCAGTAGGGGGCGTGCAGGAGACAGCCAATGGATGTTTTGCTCTCATATCAATGTTTCTCTTTCTTTCCCTTCCTCTCTTTAAAAATCAATAAAAATTTTTAAAAAATTAATTAAAAAATAGCACCAGTCTTATAATATGGCTTAATATTCGGTAGGAACAGCCTCTTAATCTTTTTTAAAGAAAACTTATCAATTTAGATTTTTATTCTTCCATGTAAACTCTAGAATAAGTGTACTGGGTTTTTAAAAAAAAAAACCGGGCAAATCTGATGTCTTTCTAATACTGTATTGTCATTCCATGCAAAAACATGATGTATCTCCATTTATTCAGATCCTCTTCTATATTCTTTATTAGAGTTTTGAAGTATTCTTTATTTTTCTTTCGGGAGCCACTACTTGAAACTGCACATTGTAGGTGGTGATTTCATCTTGTGATGAAGTATTCTTAACTAGATGCCTGGTGCACAAAATTCATGCATGGGTAGGGTCCCTAGGCCTGGCTGGCGATCAGGGCCGATTGGGGCCTTCTGGTTACTGGCCGGGGCCTTCCTTCCCCGGCTGCTGGCCAGGGCCTTCCTTCGTTCCATGCCACCTACTGGTGGTCAGCGCATGTCATAGCGAGCGATCAAACTCCTGAGGGGACACTTTGCATATTAGTCTTTTATATATATTTATATAGACTAGAGGCCCGGTGCATGAAAATTCGTGCACTTGTGGGGAAGGGCCCCTCAGCCCGGCCTGCACCCTCTCGCAGTCCAGGACCCCTCAGGGGATTCCAACTAATGGCTTAGGCCCACTTCCCGGGGGACTGGGCCTAAGCTGGCAGTCAGACATCCCTCTGGCAGCCCAGGAGCCCTCAGGGGATGTCCAACTAAAAGCTTAGGCCTGCTCCCCTTAGCGCTACCACAGAGGCGGGAGAAGCTCCTGCCACTGCCGCTGCGCTGGCCAGCCATGAGCCAGCTTCTGGCTGAGCAGCACTCCCCTTATGGAAGTGCACTGATCACCAGGGGGCAGCTCCTGCGTTGAGCGTCTGCCCCCTGGTGGTCAGTACTCATCATAGTGAACAGTCATTCTGCCAACAGGGTCAATTTGCATATTACCCTTTTATTATATAGGAAGGATGGTAGTCTTGTGGACTCTTCAGTGTTCTAGATAGTTTGTGGCTATTGTTGCTACTGTGAATAATATATTTTTAATGATATTTTCTAGTTGGTTATTTCTAGTTAGAGAAATGTTATTTTTCTAGTTTCATCTTTTAGCTGGCAACCATGACTTATACTTAACTTTAATGGTTTGTCTTTTGATTCTATTGGTTTTTCTTTTCTAGATTGATGATCATAAAATGACAGTTTTTATCTCTTCCTTTTCAATGCTATTAGCTAGTTTTCTTTTTTTATTTTAGAGAGCAGGAGAGAGAAATATCAATTTGATGTTCCACCTATCCATGCACTCACTGGTTGATTTTGTATGTGCCCTGACTGGGGATTGAACCCGCAACCTTGGCATATCAGGATGGCGCTCTAACCAACTGAGCTACTCCACCAGAGTTATTAGCTCCTACTTTTCTTAATATAATACTGACTACAGTCCTCTAGTACTGTAAGCAGTTGTAAGAGAAGGCATCTTTGCCTTTTCCCAAATTTAAAGGGAATGCCTCTGTTGGTTTTGGTACAGAGCCATGACCAGGCTATAGAAGTACTACTTTCCCCAACTATGCACATCCATGTACTTATTATTACGCATGTTCATGAACACACCCAGTCATATGGAATCATGAGAGCAAGAAAAAGAAATTCTGTATATTTAAAGTGCCCTGTTTCCAGGGCACTGTCTTGCTATATATTACCCTGCAATTACACAAGCTGCCAACCTTTCCAAAATAAACAGTGACAGATCTATCCCTAGTATCCAGATGGTCTTAGAAACCCAAGATCACTGAAGATCTAATCCTGACTGCTGCATGAAGTGGATCCAGAAGGAACAACCTCACCAATGTTTTAGCACGTGTCCATTCCATATAAGGATCCCCCCTCCTCACCCCAACCACACATACGCCTTTTCCCCAACAGTCACCCACCTGTTACACCCCAAAATAGCGCTCATAAGCAGAAAAGTCACAGGGTCCCTTTACTCATCAAGATACTAAATATATGTTGGACTTTGCATTTATAAAAGCCAGTAAAAGCAAAGAGCTGGAAAGAATCTTACTACATAATATGGCTAGGAAACAATGAAAATGAATAATCTATGAAATAGGAATAATGCAGTACCAGGCCTTCTTCTAGCACCGTTCATGAGGTACTTACACATTTTACATTTGCAAACTCTCAGATAAACTAGGGCCTAGTACACATGAAAGAGACTGAGTTGGCACTAATATGAAATATTTATGCTAAAAACACAAACCATGACTCTGTATTTAAATGAACCAT